GAGAATCAGACAAGAACTCGTTTGCAGAGAATTGTCATGAGGTGAGAATTGAAAGTTTCATGGGATATAAATATAATATGTTGTATATGCAGCTTGTGAAATGAGTGAAAAAGAAAGGATTTATAATGAAAATGATTAAATAATATTCTTCGTTGGTTCTTTTATAATATAAATGTATAACACGTATTGTTTGTATTTCTGTGTTATAACGAGTTTTAAGGGAAATTTCAATTCGTTGATGAAGAATTGAAGGTTTTTAATATATTTCGAAAGAGAATGAAAAAAGGAAAGAAAGAAACCCGAGGGCATTGTGATGAGAAGTTTATTTCTGATCACGTGAAGAAATTTATTTTTTTATCGAGTTGTTATGCAAGTATAATGGTAAGTATTTATGCAAAAAATATTCTGCATCGTTTGGTACAAGTTTTATTCAGATTGGATTAAAAATGAATGATTTATTGCAGATTTCTGGCTTTGCTCGTATTAGTGTCTTGTTCACAACACGAATATAAAATAACATTACATTTTGATGCTAGCATAATTTTTATCAATATAATGTGGTTATTTTTAATATATTTTGATATAAGTCAGAGATATTTCTAAATTTTATATAAACATATACAATATATTTTCAATTATGCTTTTTTTTTAACGTTGAAATAAAATAGTTTTGAAAAAAATTTTGATAAAAATAGTGCTGCGAAGTTCTCAATTGTATTATTTTTTATTTTCTTTTTTTCTCTTTCATTTTCTATAGAAAACTATGGTTTGAGATTCTATAGAATCTCAAATATTTGATATGGAACGGTATTTAGCACATGATTAATAATAACAGGAACGTGAAAAGAAATAAATACAATAATGTTTCTAGAAGAATGAACGTTTGAAATTACAAATGAAATAACTTATGACGACAATAGCATTATTTCAGAGAAGCGTAAAGAAGAATAGGAATTCTAAAAGATTATTCTATGCAAAAAGTTTAATACAATATCGATTCTGTTAAATAGAAAAATAAATGAAATCTTTTGTATTGCAATTTCAAATAATTCTAAGTATCAGTTGAAAGAATTGAAGAATCTTAAATAAAAGATATATATTATTTTAAATGTAGCGAGATTCATAAATATCTTTTTTGCCAATAATTCTATTCTTTGCATTTACAAACTTAGTTGAAAAATAATTAGCTTGTCGATATAATGATTTAAACGCGGATATTTTTAAAAATCATTCATTTCAATCTTTCGAATACAATACTAGCTGAAAACTAACAATTAATGGATAATTTATTTACACGACTATTTAAATATTTAATGCTAAAATTTCTCAAAGTGTTAAATTGTTTCGCGATAAATTATTTTCAATTTCCAGTTTAATACACACACGGCCTTAATTTTCAAATTCTCTTTTGTTCAAAAAACAAAGCGTTAAATGGAAAAATTTCTTTGACACGTAGAATTACAACCCAGTCAATTTTAATACGATTTTTATCTGATAATATTATTCTTTTTTTTTTTACACATAAAATAACCACAGTGCAATCAATTATACCACGATAATCTTGGAATATTATTTTTTTCGAAAACGATTCACTTTTACTTTGTATTTTTTTCCAAAATCTTAAATGAAAAAGAATATTATTCTTTCTTTTCTTAGACTCTTTACTATGTCATATATTTAATGAATCAATCCACGAGGATTGATTACACCCGACACTGGTACGTTTATTATCACATCATGCGTACCGTTTTACGACGTCTGATACAAATTGAGTTGACACGTATCCAGGATTTACTTTCGTCTCGCCTCGACGGCCAGATGCAACTTCAGAGATCACTTTATTACACGCGTTTACGACTTTGAACGACTAAGTCTAACTACGTTGTTTAAACTCGTCCCGAAAGTCGTTCTCAGGCGACACAAAAGCAAGCAAGTTAATATTCTTGCATAACGACACGATCATTATGCATATAACACCCGATTTTGCGCGGGATTATTTTCATGCATCGTGTCAACGACGATTAACGTTGCAATTGTACGCTAATAATTAGCCATCCTGAAGCGAGACAATGAGGAATGAGTGTGTTAGTGTGGCTTCCTTTTTCTTTTTTAATCTAACTTGATCTTTCAATGTAAAATTGTTTCAACTTGATTCAACATTTTGTCAATCAAATTGACTGTACAATGAAAATTTTTGAAATAAAAGTGAAGTGAAAGTGTTTTTTTAATTTTAAAAGTGTATTTTATTTTATTTTTGAATTGTCAAAATATATAATGAGTATATTGAGATTGAATTGTGCTAGAAAATTTTGGGATAAATCGATTGAATTTAATTTTTTTACCTTCGTTGAATATATGTTATTAAGATATGAGCATATAGCTTAGTCGTTATCACATATAATATGTAAAAATATATAAAATATTTTCTCTTGTATACGTTTCTTATCTTTAAATCCTCTTAGTCTTAGAGAGGACTAAAGGCATTTATAGAACTATTTTTTATTGTATTATTAATGTGCATTTTATTATATTTATTTATATTAATTTTCATTTTTAGAATATTATAAATAAACATATAAAATTTATATGATATGATATTATACTTTTTCTTTCAAGAATTGTTATTAATTATTTCGTAGAGAAAGATTTGGAAGATTTGTCCATTTCTTATTCAAAACGAGAATCTTTTTTATTCAAGGAATTCCATTATTTCCGTTCTTTTCTTTTTTTTTCGTCGTATTTAACTTCCTCGCGTATCGATTTGTATCTCTCCTGTTCGTTTCTTTGTTTATCAGCCGACTTATCAATGGACCATAGCGAACAGATATTCTCGGATATTATAAAAAGCCATTTCAAGAGATATTTACAAATATTTGCTCCAATCCTGTTTTAATTAGACCGATGAATAATTGAGCATCCCGTGTACCTTTAAAAGAAGGAAGCATCTGTTTTGCATATATATATCTACAAATGTTCAGAAATTTTTAACTAATTATTGTCAATTTGTACATCAATCTTTCCTCATTAGATACACTTTTGTAGAAATAATTAAAAATAATCGATAACTTTAATCGATTGTTAATCATCAAATCGACATCCAACGATAATCAAATGGCAATTAATATAAATAAATGTATAACGGTAATAAGTTATTAACTAAATTACGTTGATCAATTTCATTTCCATATGTAATAACACGAATTAAAAAAAAAAAAATCACAAATTAATTTCTTCCTTTTTACACCCTCCCTATCCATTCATCCCCATCGATCGATATCATCATTTATTACGATATTCTCATTACTCTCGCGACAAGTTCCGCATTTCCTACATCGCGAAACAATAGAATTCTCGCGATTTCATTTCAATATCGTATTTCAATTACCTGGCTTTGGAACGAGATATGTTCCATCGGCCAACCACCGCGATTCTCTCTCCCCGCCACAACGCCTAGATCTTCGATCTGTCCATTTGTCGTCTCGATAATGCGGCTACATCGTTGTTTATTCTATTATTTGTTAGCGGTGGTTCATTGTCGAGCAATTAAATCATAATTACGATAATATGTCCGAGTTATGTCGTTCAATTATCAATTGTCGTTCAATGAATCGATAATCGAGGTGGATCGTTGACAACATTTCTTTGTCTGTTTATTATAATCGAATTTTCTCCACGATTTCGCTTTTTTATCCATTTAAGATTTTTATTTCTTAAAAGTAGTATATTATTAGGATATAAGAGATATGTCTTAGTTATTGGAATGATAGAGAGCATGTTACGTTTCGATCAATTCGAAGCTCGAAGTTATTCCAATATGAGCATAATATAATGAGGACAAATTATGAATAATTGATTAAATTAATACAATTTTAGAGAAATATTTTTCTATGAACAACACTTTTATCGATAACAATTAACTGAAACTTTAATTTTAATAATTATAGACTCTTCTATGGTGATACAAAGTCAGACTGTAATTTGTAATAGTGATCATATGAATAACAAACGATCTTTGTATTCCTTATTTACTTCCTTATTTGTAATCCTTATCTTTAAATTGCAATAACATCATCAATGCTGAAATATTATTATATTTTATAGCTAGCCTATTCAAATTTCCAAGAATAGCCTATTCAAATTTCCAAGAAAAAGTCGTAATTAATTAAAGTTGGCCAGTAGCGATTAAACGATTGTGATTTGATAAATGTTGTTTCGCGTTTTTCCTTGTTTCTTGAATTGAAAGATGGGTGCATGTGAAAAATATCCAATTACGAGAATACATTAGCGTATGATCGTTACGTAGTTTTGATTGAAACGCTCTACGATGTAATTATACCGATTTGTAATACAGATAATGAATCTTCCATAGTCGTATAATAATTAACTACCCACAACATCGAGCAGATTATTCCTCAGGAATCTTGTTACAATATTTATTCTCTTCCATTACATAAGCTATAGTTAGATCTTATGTGTGTAAGAAATTATTCAATGATTATAGTTTTATGTATATATTTTTGATAATTCATTAATTTAAATAACATTTCTTATTACATTGAGATTTGAAGAAGGGATAAAAAATTACTAGATATTACTAGATATAAGTTATTAAGTTAGAATCATTAGAGTGTATATATATGGTATATTTTTTAAAAATTCATTAAGTTTAATTTGTTTAAATTTTTACTATCTAGGATTTTTTAT